TGAATATCTATAAAATTTGAATTATAATTTCCCCAATAATTTACAGATAAAAACTATAGCCTAAAACAGAATTCTATTCTATTGCAAAAAAGTCAGTCTTCATAGCCAAATATATAGTTATACAGACAGAGGTAAATCTCAGCAGATTTCTGTCTCTCTTGAAAGACATACAGAGAAAGTTACATAAGTTCAATTTTATTCGTAGAGGTAGTATGATAAAAAAAAAAAAAACGGAAGCATTGGCCTCTGCATTCCATGACTTGTATCCACACTGGATCCTCAATAATCTTGTGATCTCAACCTAATTACTTTACCATAAAGGCCTCAATTTCTTAAGTTTCATTGCATCAGTCAAGGAACCAGCAGAAAACCAAATTCACACCCCAGTAGTACAGACAGAGAAAGTCCTCAGTCTCTCTTCATATAAAATGAAGGAACTGGTTTGGATGATATCTTTTAATTCTAAAATGTGATGACTCCAGTGATTTTAGATACAAATACTAAATGGTCGATTATATCTTCTTTCAATTTTATACGTGTTGAAAGTTCAAATATGTTCCATATATTAACAAATGAATATCACAGTGAAATAAAAGTCTAATGGCATCATAGTTGGTCTATTGAATTTATCTGTGTTTTTGTGTGGAGAGAGAGAGAGAGAGAGAGAGAAAGAGATATCAGGTATATACTTTTCCACAAATAAGGTATGTAATTACTCAAAAATAGAAGATAATAAGAAAGAATGATTTTGCTATATTTATCCAGCTGCATGATTTACTTAAATCTATAAATTGACTCTGTGGTCTCATGTCTAAGTTATTTATTGACTTGGGATAAGTTTGAGATAAGTTTCAAATTGTCATACTTGGACTTCCATACAAATTTATATATTCAAGGTAGATCAAATCAGTGGATGACCCTTTCCTTATTCAGAGACATCCAGAGATCTAGGTAATGTTGCTTTAGTACATAGCTCCTGACTAAAGACGTAACCTTTCATCAGTTACTAGCCACTTGTCTATTATATCAGGCCAAGTGTAACAGAAATTCCACCATATGCAGATGCACTGTACCTCCTAAAAGTGTTTTTGGTTATACACCGCAGAATCATATTGTAGAAATTATGCTTATCAAATTGAAACTAGAAGCTGTGGTTGGCATCACTCTGAAGATGCATTTCTACTGTAGTATGTATGGTCTAATGTATATACACAAAGAAATTGACGTTTAGTTTTCTCAGTGCTGAAAACTCTAATAGATGATGGCAAGCCATCCATTTGTTTCCAGACTGGAAGTAATTTAAAAAATAATTTCTGCTATCTTTTTAACTGAGTATACAATGAATATATTGAATACAATTTGATCAATTAAAGAGAACATTATTCAGACTGCATTCTGCAGTTCCAAAGGCAAGGGAAACTATCACTGGACTTAATATGAATTTTTCTTGAGTATTTCTGCATCAGCTACAAATGGGTTTTTAAATTAATGTTTATTCAAGCTGTATTCTCTACTCTTGCCAAAAGTAAAGTACTTTCCTTTCCATTTACTAAATACAATAAAATTTTTACTTGCCAGTGCATTATCTAAATAACAGCATGGCATGAATAAACTCAACAGGACCTAAAAACAATAAACAAAGTAGTAACTATACTTTTATATGCTTACTAATCTTTTGGAATTATATTATTTTTTAAGAAAATTGAAAAATATTTAACACATAATAAAACTCTGAAGATTAAAAAATAAGTAGAAAAATAGAATGCCTCTGCCTTTATTTTACAAGTCAAAAGCACAATTGTACTTCCAAGTCACAAAACTTGAACAACCACTATAACCAGGTTTGCCAAGCAAAGGAAAGGTGGACACTTAATCTCAATAATGCTGTCAATGATCCACATTCTGCTCAACTAGACACATTATTTAGTTGAGAGCAAAGGCTTTTGTTTGAACTGCAAAGGCCTGAACTATGGAAACCTGGGCTACATCATCAGTTTTGCTAAGGTGTGATTTTCAGAAAAGAAAAAAAAAATACAGCAACTCTGCAACACACATCTAGATTCTGCCAAAGAGGAACTATAGAAGCTTGATTTGAAAATTTCTAGACCCTGTGAAAGGGGGAAGAGCATTATTTACAAGCTTATTTCCACAGAGCCATTTAATTTATTACAATATAACCATTAACAGGATTTAGGAGCAACACTTTGAAATGTCTTATTCTTATGAAGATAAGAACACTGTAAACAGATATCACTTCCATTGTATCACAGGTAAAGAACTATGGTAGGGCAATTCAAGAAAATTATAAACAAAATGAAGGCTTTATGTCAGATGAAATCTCTGATTTTTAATTAATCCCTATCATAAGCAATTAAAATATGGCATCCCTCAGGGTTTTCCTTAGATAAATTCAATATCAAAGGGGGGAATTATAACAAAACCTTGTGTTCTTTATTTTATTTTATCTTACATCAAATTTAACCACAGAAAATACATTTTGGCAGTTGTATAACAATTAAAGTTAATATATTTTTAAAATGAAAATAGAAAATCATCTCCTTATGGTACAAACAAAAATCAGAACAAAAAAGATCCTGTTTATTGTGTCAGATGTCTAAACAGAATGTAACTTTGTAAATGGATCCTTTGTCCCCTGACAGCAATATTGAAGAGATGAAGAGTATCAATTACTATTACTAATTACATTAAGGGGAATGTGTTTCATTCTCCTTTATTTCATTTTGGCTCAGCTATTTATTATGGTTAAAACTTTACACATCTTTTGAATACTGAACAACATATAAGCTTTCCAGTCACTTTTGGCAAACTGCATGATTTATACTGATGGCTTTGCAGGTTTTCTATTTTGGTATATGGACTTCTTTGCTCTGTTAAGAGTCTAACACCATACATTAGTTTATTTATAAGCCTATCACTTTGCCTTTTAAATAGGATGCCACAACAGTCTTGATATTGGCTGTCTTAAATGCTCAAGAATATAGAGCCAACCTCATTTGATGAGCCAAACAAAGCTTAAGTGACAGCACAGATCATGTGAAGGGTTTGTATAAAATATCTATAAATCTGCCACTTGATATGTCCCCTCCAAAGTTTAAGATTACACAATTTATAATGCAAATGCCATTCAGCCATGGGACAAAACGTCCTATTAGGATGACAGCGAAGAAGTAAACATTCTGCAGAACGTTCACTTCACACACGTTTGCACCACAAGTTATCATTTTCCAAAGAAATTTCTGTAGATATAAATTTATTTGTGGGTGTTTCTAAGTCAATCTTAAAAATATAGTATTATTTTAACTAGATGTGTCCTTGTTTACAAAACTGATAAAAGTACCACAAACAAAACAAAAATCTTCTTCTAACTCCAGGTAAAGCAATAACACAATAAATATAAACTCTCCCCTTAATAAATTTCAGGTTAAAAGAGATAAGTAACTCAGGCTCACCGGCATCATGAATTTTCAAAAGCCATTTAATGTAATGAAGTTCAAGCCTGTATTTTCTTGAATTGCTTTGACAATTGAATATAAAACCACGTTAAGTCTGTTTCTCCTTATCCAAATAGCTACAGTAAGGTACTCTAAGTAGCAAATATTTCTTTAGGAAATTGATTTTTAAAACTATGAAAGCAATAATTAGTATCTCTTTTCTATGTCTTTAATGAGCCCATCAATCATATCTTCAATGACACTATAAAACAAGTTTTTCTTTTGCCTTAATTCTTCTCAGATTGCACATTCCACATGCAAAGCATATTTAATAGAAAAACTATTATTCAATATTATTTGACAGTCATAAATGTGCTTCTTGAGATGAGTTCTCAGGATAAGAAACATATGGTATTTTATTAGTGGGGTTGCTACAGCATTAGACACAGCAGTTTCCAAAGGTTTTACTTACTGAGTGTCAGACCTTGGTGGGTGTAAAAAGTAAACTTTGTAAGCATTACATATATCACACAAGCACAACTTCCAAAAATAAATTTTCGATTTCTGAAGTTCATCTCAAAATATGCTTTTTTAAACTGTTTCCACGTTTCACTGAAAAACAACTGTATCAAATATTCCATATAACTTTAATAGTGTCAGGATATCACAATGCAGACCAAAATTTTCTTGTACACAGTGCATCAAACAAGAACATTTCTGTTGCTTGGCTTAAATAATAAATGGGTCATGTACTTTACTTTTGCTTATAAACTTGTAATACCAAACATGAAGAATGCAAGTGCTAACTGCATAGCCTCACAGAAGTCTAATTGTTACAGACACTGAAGTATTAAAAATGTATATGCAAACAATGAATCATGGAACACTATATCAAAAACTAATGATGTAATGTATGGTGATTAACATAACGTAATAAAATAAAATAGAAAAAATGTAGTTTTGCATGATATTTGCATAGTACTGAATATTTTTAAGCCAACATTTATGTCAAAGTAGTCAGTATTTAATTATCTCAGACTTGGTACTATACTTGCATGAACCAGCCTCTGTGATCTGTAAAATCCTACATAATACATAACACAGTTAAAACTTTTATAGTGTCCAATTTGCATAGGCACCGGTAGTAACTTTAGAAATTTTCTCCCTGGATGTAATTATCCACTTAGTAGCCACAAAACAAAATAATTTCAAGTAAAAACTAACCACCCAAACAATACATGCATGTTTATCCTAAAAACAGAAAATGTAGGATGCATTAGTACTGTCAAGTATAAAGTACTGCTTACTTTGAATATGTTCTGAGGTAGGTTAGGAAACACTGGTTTGGTAACTTGGAAAATGCAACGGTGCACCTCGTGTAGATGGCCTGTATTCAACTAATGATATATGAATTAACATTAAATTACTGCCATTAAATTTTTAAATAATAGCTTTAAAAGAGAGAAAACAAAACTTCACAGAAGATGCTCTGTCTCAGAGTTATTAGCCTTTTGTGGGATATTTAAATATATTTGGAATACATCTTACCTGTTTGCTGTACTTGTTATTGGTTTGACAGCTGTATTCAGAGCAGTGATCCGATCCAATTGAAATGTTGTCTCCTGCTCCCACAAATGTGTTGGCTGGTGGTAGATCTTGTACGGCCTGGTGTTTTTTTCCTGCAGTTGGTGACTGGGGGTGAAGCTGGACAGTAGGCAATGGAGAACTAGATTTGTAATGCCTGGCCAGGTCAGGACTGCCAGGCCCCCCGTTAACAGATCGGTATCGCCCCATGCTCGGGCTGTCTGACAGCTTCTCATTGACACTATCATACCTCTGTCCATTTGGTTTAGAAGCTTCTACAGTGACAATGCTGCTGTAGAGAGGCTGCTTAGACTTTTTGTTTTTCTTGTCCTTTTTAGGCTTTTTAGATTTGTCGTGCTGCTGGGGTGTAAAAAAGTCTTCATGATCCTTTTTGCCAGCTTCATAGCCATTTTTATTTTTGGACCGGCAGTACCTTGCCATCACTACAATTAAGATGATTAGAATCACTGTCATAATTCCAGCAACCACCCCAATGACAATACTGAGTCTCTGTTTGCTAATTTCATAACTTGGGTCACCAGCTATATCCTGGGTGAGTGGGGTGTGCAAACTTCTGGCTATCTGGGAGTCAATCACAGTTGCATTAGAAACACTTTCATTGACAAACACATGCACCAGAGTCGTGGTGGACTGGGAAGGCTGCCCACTGTCATTCACTTGCACCACCAACCTGTGCAAGCCATAATGCTTTTGGGTGAGTTTTCCCACTAAAGAAACCACACCACTGGTGGAATCAATCTCAAACAGCTTGAAGGGATTCCCTCCCACAATGCTGTAGTTAAGGTCTGCATTGATGCCATCGTCACTGTCTGTTGCCAACACTGTAGCTACTACTGTCCTGACATTACTTGAAGGTGGCAGTAAAGTGTAGGAAATGTTTCTGGGAAGGGTAACTGTAGGAGCATTGTCATTCTCATCCATCACAAAGAGAGAGACTGTTGCTGTGGCTGATCTGGGAGGATCCCCCCCATCCACAGCCTTGACTCTGAAGGTGTATGTGGTCTGATGTTCCCGGTCAAAAGACATTGTAGAGTAAATGGTCCCTGTGTCATTTTCAATGGAAAAAATGTTACTGTTTTCCTCTATGTAGAGGCTCATCTCTGCATTGCGCCCCTTGTCTGCATCCATCACCGTGACCATCCCCACCGGGCTGTTGGGCTGCAAGTTTTCTTTCACATAAAAGGTAAAGACGTCCTGCATAAACTTAGGGTCATTGTCATTCTTGTCAGCCACCTGCACAATCACCGTGGTGCTGCCCTGCAGCACTGGGATGCCTTTGTCTTTGGCATTAACTTTAAACTCGTACCTGTCTGTCTGCTCTCGGTCCAGCACCGTATTGACAAGGATGTCCCCAGAATCAGGATCGATGGCAAAGATTCCCATCACAGAGGAATCCAGAGAGTAGGCAATCTCTGCATTTTTCCCACTGTCCGCGTCTGTCGCCAGCACCGTGGCCACCCTCTCTCCAGGGATGTTGTTCTCCGGAAAGTAAACCTCCACCACGGACTGGCCAAAGACGGGCGGGTTGTCATTGGTGTCTCCTACCTTGACAACCAGGGAGTTGTTGCTGGAGAGGCTGGGGCTGCCGGAGTCCACCGCCACAATGACCACGTTGAATTCCCGGGTGGTCTCATAGTCCAAAGGGGCCGAGGTGTGCAGAAAGTACTTTTTCTTGTTCTGGTCGCCCTCTGTGTCGCTGGCCGGCTTGAGCTGGAAGGGCACGTCACCCACCACGGTGCAGGTGACTACCCCATTCTCGCCTTGGTCTCGGTCGGACACCTGTACCAGAGCAATGGGAGTGTCGACCAGAACATCCTCGGCCACGTTGGCCACCCCGTCCTTGAGTGGGATACGCCCGATCTTGCGGATTTCAATGGACGGAACATTATCGTTCTCGTCCTTGATGTTGAGGACCACTGTGGCCTTGTCGGTTTTGGGGGGCTGCCCGCGGTCGCGGGCCATGACGGTGAAGCGCAGCTGGTTCACCTCCTCGCGGTCGATACGGTGCAGGACACTAAGCCAGCCGGACGTCTCGTCCAGGCGCAGCAGCCGCCGCACGGATTCGGTAGCCGCTCCGAACACATACTCGATCTGTCCGTTGACCCCCACGTCCAGGTCGGCGGCACGCAGCTGCAGGATGGGAGTCCCTGGGGCGCTATTCTCGGCCAGGTCAGCTTCGTACACGCTCTTCTCGAAGCGGGGACTGTTGTCGTTCACGTCGGTGATGAGCACCCTCAGGATGGCCTGAGAGGAGCGAGGCGGGTCGCCACCGTCGCGCACCCGCAGGGTCAGCTCGTACGAGTCGCGTTGTTCCCGATCCAGCGCCCCCTTCACGATCAGCTGTGGCTGCTTCTCGCCATCCGGGGTGTCGGCCACCTGCAGTTCGAACACGCTGCTGCGGCCACTGGGGTTGGTCCCGCCGCCGCCCTCTGGTGCGTCCGGCCGCCTCTTGGAGCCGCCGGGGCCGCCGCCGCTCGCGCCGTTCCCGCCGCCCCCGGGGTAGGGGGCGCTGTCGGCAGGCCCAGCACGCCGGCCCTCGCCGCCGCTGCCGCCGCCGCCGCCGCCGCCACCGCCCCCGGGCTCCTGGAGCAGCTCGTAGCGCTCGATGCCGTTGCGGCCGAAGTCACGGTCGGTGGCGGTGGGTAGCAAGTAGAGAGTGCCCACCGGCCGGTTCTCCTCCACCGTGAGCGTGAGCACGGGTGACGGGAAGGTGGGCGTGTTGTCGTTGATATCCAGTACGATGACCCGACCCTCGAACAGGTCCACCCAGCTCTGCGAGGGCCCGATCACCGATACTTCGAAGTCCAGAAAGCACTCGTTCTCGTCGAAGATCATCTGACACTGGGGCAGCTTCTCGCGGTCGATGCGCCGCTCGCTCGTGCTCAGCTCGCCGGTGAGGTTGTCGATCTTCAGGTACTCCGAGCCCGACTCGAGGCTGAAAGTCACCTCACCCGAGCCAGTCACGATGCCCAGGTCCGAGGCGACGTTGCCGATGCGGACGTCCGCTGGGCCCTCCTCGGCTAGTCGGTATCGGAGGAGTTGCTTGGCGGCCGCCAGGCTGAGCGAGAGCGGCAAGAGGAGACAGCAACCCAGGCACCAGCCGCGCGCCCATCCCGCGGTCCGCATCCTCAGCATCTTCTCCTGCTGCTGCTGCTACTGCTCCTTCTAATCACAGCCCCCTCGGCGCCCCCCTCCTCCAGGGCCGGCCGCCTGCCCTCCTCCCAATCTTCTTCTCTCTCCGGGAAAGGAGGAAGGGAGAGGAGGGAGGGGGCAAGAGCACCGTGCGGAATCGGCCAGGGGGACCAGCGATAAATCCTTCTTTTTTTTTTTTTCCTTCTGCTTCTTCTGAAAGTTATTGTTTCATAATTCATGCAATGGGTGCTAATCGCCCGCTCGCCGGCCGCCGTTTAGTCGCAGTACTCACAGTTCACGGGACACTGCGCGCCGCGGGCTCGGCGCCCCCCCAAAGTCATCCCCGCAGCGGGCGGTGGATCCCGAGCTCCAGTCCCCGCTCTGTCGGATGGGGTCGGAACCGCTCCGGCAGGCGGGCGGTGGAGCCGGGAAGCAGCGGGGAACAAGCCTGCAGCCTCCCCCGCCTGCCAACCCCGTTCGTCTTTGCTGTTACTCGAGTTGAGTCCAATTCACGTTCCAGCCACTCACTCCAGACCCAGCTTCTGCTCCGGCTGCCCAGGCAAACGTGAGTTGCTTCCTGCACGAGGCGCTGGGGCCAGCAACAAGCCAGTCTGAACTCTGACTCCGCTCTGGCAGCGGGGGAGCCAGTCAACAGATCGAGAATGAAAAATCCCTGGCAGGTCGCTTCGGGCACCGTGCAGTGGAGACCACTCGCGTCACACAGCGGTCCGCGTCTGGGTACCCCCCGCGCGCCGAAGAGCAGCCCGAGCCATCTTCAGAGACGCCCAGAGAGTCAGTCCCTTCTCACCCCCAAGAGCTCGGGTTTCTCTTTTTTTCTTAACAACTCTGCGCAAGGTCATTAGTCACGAAGCCGCCGCCTGAAACCGCAGCAGCCGTTCGCCCGCGGGGGCGAAAGGCTGAGCCGTGCGCACCGCGCGGTGCCCAAGTTTGGGTTCGCAGCCGCAGAGTCCGTGCCTTTCCTCACCTGCATTCGGCCCGCAATTCGGAGCACTGGGATCTGCAGCGCTGTGCGCGATTCAGGGAGGAGATTGCAGCCTCTCTCTCTCCCCGCTCTCTCGATCCCTCCCCTCCCTCCCTCTCTCTCCTCCCTCCTCCTCCTCTCTCCTCCCTCCTCTCCTTTCCCCTTTCCCCTTCTCCCACTCTCTCCTGCACGCTCCCTCTCCTCCCTCCCAGTCCCAATGCTGGCAACTCGAGCTGAACTTGATCCCTTTGCAGTTCAAAGGTGAGCAAACCAGGCTCGGTGCTCAGGCGACGTTGGCCTGGTGAAAGCCCCCGGCCGGGCTCCCCCAACGGCAATTAACAAAGATGCCCAATTCTGTCCGGATTTCCGAAGAAAAGCCAAAGGCGCTGGGGAGGGGGTGAGCGGGAGGTGGAGTCAGAGACAGCTGCCAAGTAGCTTAAAAAAAAAAAAAATCAGTTTGCCAAGGGGAGAAAAAGTGCCAGTCGGTTGTTGCCTCGGAAGTGCCCTGGCACGGCGGGTGAATTCCGCAGTTGTCTCGTCCCCTTTTGCGTCTAGGAGAGTCTGGTGCGGGCGCGCTAGCCGCCCCTTGGACTGCCAAGGCTCAAAGACGCTGAATGGCAAATAGGAAGCTCCCGCTAGTTAGCCGCGAGCCGGAAACCCGCAAGTTTGCCCAAAGTGGCGGCTGCTGCTGGGAGCTCGCTGGCTGGCTTGCGGCTCAAGCTTGTCCCTGAAGCTGCTGCTGCTTGCGGCGGCGGCGGCGGTAGCAGCCTAGCCGCGGAAACTACACACTCGCGGAGAGGGAGGGAGGAGGGTTGAGGGGAGGAAGGCAGAAGGGGGTACTAACCAGCTGGCCCGCTCCGGAAAGCCCAGCTTCAGCTCCGGGGGCCACTCCTTGTGTGCACAATCCAGCCAGTCCCCGTCCCCTTTAAGCCAAAGCCTTTTCCCCTCTCCCCAGCGAGCGCAGCCACAGTCCAGTCGGGGCACTTGCTTTCCCTCCCTGGGGCTGGTAAATTTCCTCCTCTCCCTGACTAATGCCTAGTGCGTGTGTGAGAACACTGAAGCGAGTGTCAGGAAAGGTTTCTTTTTTTTTTTTTCTCCCCCCTTCTCAGACGATGCCCCCCACCCCCCGAAGTGTCTCCGTTTCGCGATTTAGCATCTTGGTTAGGGCATGGTTAAGGGTGGCTTAGGGGATCCTGCGTGCGCCCAGGGAGCCACGTTGGTGTTCTGAGAAACCATGATGGGCTGCAGTGGTTAAAAAAAAAAAAAAAAAAAAAAAAAAAGAGAGAGAGAGAGAGAGAGAGCATCAAACTCCAGAGAGAGCCAGAGAGGGATCCTTTTTTGGGAGTGCAGACTTTGGAGGGCTGGGGTTGGGGGTTGGGTTGGTGCCTGTCTTTGTTTAAATGCTTGGCATTCCTGTCATCGTGCTTGCTTACGGGGTAGACCGTGTGTGTGTGCGCGCGCGCCTGGGGAATAAACACATGTTGGAAGCCTCGGTGTTATTTTCTGAGCAGAAACCTGCAGCCTTTAGTAACTGGCAAAGTGTAGCGTCACCTATCTGGATAAAAGGGAAATAAACTTTAATGGCAACTTTGTGTACCGAAGTGTCCCTAGTTCCGTTTCTCTCCTTCTTCTGACTTTGTGCCACTCCATCGTACGTGGTATTCCCCCACGCGAGGCTTCCCCAGTCTTCAATCACAGCCACTGCAGCCCGCCTCATCAGATCTCAGTTGTGCTTGTGTTTTTTAAAACTGTAGCCATTTGCTCTTCATTTATTTCAGTGGCTAAGGGGGCCCGCCAGGATTAAGTGGGCTGAGACGGGCAGGAGGTATTTGGGGACAATCTTACCATCTCAAGAAAGCAAAGAGGCTGCTGTTGGGATTTGGCTGGCCCTCAGCTCGTCTACCCAATCTATAGGCATCGAAGGGCCTCCCCTTAAAGGAAAATTTAAGATGAAAAGAAGAAAAAAGAAAGAAATCCTTCCAGAGTGGCTACTATGCCTTTACGAGACCTGTGTGTGGAGGCAAAATGATTTAAACAAGACAAACACCAATAAAGTCTACGAGCAGATGTAGCGCGCGGTTGTTTGGGCGGGCGCAGGCAGCAGAAATGGGGGGAGAGGTGGCTGAGATTTCCAAGGTCTCCCTATAGGGGATCGTGGAGGCGCGGAGGATGAAAGTGCCAGGGAACTGGCGAGTATTTTCCAGTCAGCTAAAGCATATGCACTCAGGGTGTAGCGGCTTCTCCTCCCCGGCCAGGCGAGGAACCCGGCCACCCCCACATTCCCCAAGCCCGCCGCCTCCCGAGTCTCTCCGCTCTGTATCTGCAGCATCAGCGAGAAAAACCCCGCGCGCAGACTCAGTGCACACCGCCGCAGTCTGGAGCCGGGGGGCGGGGGCGGGCGCCGCAGCGTTTCCTTGGCCCGCTAAATGGCTGTAATGCTAAATCCCCTTATATTTGGAAAACTCTGGTTTATCAGAATTCTTGCCTTCCACGACACCCGGTCCCCATTTTTTCGCCAGGGTCCAAGGTGAAAGAGGGAAGCCTTTTCTGCTCCGCGGCCTTGCGCCCGTGCATTCCGATGCGCGGCAATATGGTGCAGTGCACTCACTCCCCTAACCGCCTTTACTAAGATTTTGCAAACTTCTGGCAGCCGCGTGGGCACAGACTTTGTACACCCACTCTTCCCTCGCCAGACCATAAACTTGAACAAGCCCCTGAGCATCTTCAAACATTCGCCCACAGCTCCGGCGCGCAATCTCCAGGCGCACACTAGCGAGGGGCGAAAGAGTGGGAGGCTTTTCCCCAGAGCGCCGCAAATTTCTTTCCAGATGACGGGGGATGGGGTGTGTGTGTGTGTGTGTGTGTGTGTGTGTGTGTGTGTGTGCGCGCGCGCAGCGCGTCCTTCACAGTGGAGTGGTTTCCTCATTGCGAGCGGGAGGCAGTCTCCAGTCAGCTCTCCTTACTCATCCCGACCAACTCCGCCGCCGAGCCAAGCCAGCGTGGGAAATGGGTCCGACGTGTGCGGCATGGAGAACAGGGCGCCAGACCGCCGGGGCCGTGAAGCCTCCCGGCTTTCCACCCTCCCCCATCGGTCCCCGCCTCCGACCTCTCCGCGGGAGCAGCCAAGGACCGGCTGCTTTGTCCAGCAGCGCGGTTCTTGGGCAGGGGAACCGAATGGGCGGGGTGGGTGTGTGGGCGAGGTGCGAGGAGCTTTCCGGGCGCCCTTGCCGCGGTCGGAGCTCCCAGTCCTCTTCCGCCCCCTGTCTGGGGACTGACACTCCAACTCTAGCCTCCCGCCGGCGCGGAGGATGAATGGAGGCGAGAAGCTGTTTCCCCCACCCCCACCCCATTTGCGCAGTCTTAGAGCCAGTGTCACAAGTGCTCGGCAGTTTCATTAAATGGAACTAGGGGACTTAATCCCACCCCCCCAGTACCAGACCTCACCACGGGAATATGATATCCGGATTCGCTCCCACCCACAAACCCCGCCCGGCTTTTCAGACTCGAGGCAGCATTTATCTTCTCAACCTGAGAGGAAAGGGTTCAGAAGGAAATGGGATCGAAAGTGTAACCGGCTGCAATAAATTAAAGAGCCCGCTGCCGCTGTGCCGCTGTTGCGGCTGCTTTGGCGGCCACAACTGAAGATAGAAAACGAGATCAGTTTCCGAAAGCCTGAGTTGATCAGAGTGATAGCACGTCATCGCTTGCATGAAGCAAAGTGAGAGAAGGTTGAAATGTTGGGGATTTGTGTATTGTCTCTTTTTTTTAAAAGGAATATAAAGAAAAATGACTTCTTGAAACCAAGATATAAAAAAATCGATTAAAATAGAAATGCTATCCCGTTCTAATAAACATTTAATCCAAAACTTGGCCAGAGATTCCTTTTTATATAGAGCCAAATGTCCTGCCCTATACTTACCACAATCGGTAGTTTTTTGTTGTTGTTTTAAATTTACCTACTAACCCTGCCATCTTAAAACTGCTTTTCAGTTAAGAAATTTCAGTGACTGAGCTGAAAAAT